AAAAAAAAAAAAAAAAGAGATTTGGCAAGGTAAATAGAAAGTGCAAACCCAAGGGGACTCTAAATAGTTTGCATTTCCCACAGTGCCCTTCTCTCTCCAGTGACAGGAAGCAAACATGGGACATTTGCAAGTAATAGGGGACAGATTTTACCTGCTTGTGGTGCCGAGACTTGATTGCCGCTTGCTGTGAGTGGAATGAAGAGAAGAGATTTCGAAGGAGCATGCAGAAGGCCCGTGGTGGCTCCAAATGGACAGCACTCTGCCCACTGAGTAGGGCAGAGAACAGAAGACCTTGTCTGCTATGGAGGATGGAGACCGCAGCCCTTTCAAGCCCTGTGTAAAGTGGGTCATGAAGAGCCTCTGCATGGTAGGCATGTGGCTGGAGAAGTTCCGTTTTTTTGTCCAGATTCGGTAACATCCCGGGGAGCAAAGTGCTAGAAGTGTGTGAAGGCCAAGGACAGAGCAGTTGGCTCTGGTCTGGACTATGGCAGTGCCTCCATAGTCTTGGAGAGGAGCTGGAGGCTGAAGAAGAGCCTGAGTGTGGGTCTGACTATGGACGCCAGTGTCTTCCCTGAATGTGGCCATCCCAGGGCAACTGTGGGACAAGAAGAAAGAAAAGGTCCACTTGGGAGGTTGAGACGGGCACTGGAGGGCCTCTCCTAAGGCAAGCCTTGCCGGAGCACAGTGCTCAGGAAAAGTCCTTGAGGACTCAGTCATGCAATCTGAGCTGGATGATTTCACATGAAAGGATACTGGGAAGATTTCAGAACCAAACAGCAGTGACGGCATCTTGCTCAAATCTATGAAGCTCATCTTGATGGATTCGAGAGAATAAAGTGCCATGGGATTACTGTCAGGCCTCTTATCCCATCCACTAGCTGCCAAATATGGATTCAGCTGTGCTGTGTTGTATGAAAATCCATCCAGGAGCCTTTTGTATCTGAGGCGCTTATAGCTTTTAGCCATTGGAAGTTCAGAGGAATACCGTTGGTATCTTAGCTTCTGAGTCTTCATGGCTGGGGCCAGTTTGGAGGCAAGGATGGACAGCTTGTCTAGTAAGGCTGATTCTTTGGTAGGCTTCCTAAAATTCGGGCTCCTCAAGGGATGGCATGGTGTAGTCGTCTGCTTTGGTATGTGGCTAATCAAGCACTTGGTAGGTGCTGTTTCAGGTTCTAATCGTGTAGGTGCAGACACAGTACACAAACTGAGAAGTCTGTGTGCTTTTATTGGGATGGGATCGGAGGAACTCTTTAAAAAGGCAGAACTTCTGATTTTACCTATTTTTCTCCCCACACTGTTTTGCTCCTGACTGGAAACTTTCTTACAAGTTCGATGGGGCTGCTTCTTTAAAGGAAGCATTTCTTTCTTTGCAAAGGCACCACGTATTTGATCACATCCAGCAGAGGAGGGGTCTTGTGCTTTCTGAGGGGCACCAAGAAGGCAAGAACTTGTGCATGACTCAATGTCCTTCTTAAATGGATGATGTAAGCTTTCCTCCTCCTGGTCTTCTAACTTCTGAGTCCGTGCCACAATGCTGCTCTTGGCCAGCTGTGCTAGGGTGATTTCATTCACTATGGTGGACTCATCTTTGTCAACCTTAGGTTGGTTCTTATTTTGTGCATCATCTAACAACAGACTAGATAATATGCATTGTTCCGATATCATATGTGCTTCCTTTTGATGTATATATTCCTCTTCTTTCTGCAACTTGTAGTCCAAAACCTCAGGGCTCTGCTGTTTTTCACCGTGACTAAGCATCTTCTGGCAGTTAATGTGGGTCTGAGAGATGTTGTACACATGATCGCCACCACCAGCTTGTCTGGTAACCGTCTCCTCAGATTGGTCCCCAACAGTTAAGTCAACAGGTGGTCCCCTTTGATGCTCTTGAGTTTCTTCTCCTTTCACTTTAGTTCCTGTATTCACTGTCAAAGGCAAGTATCTGTCAGAGGAATTCCCGTGAGAGCGATAAGCTTTGCAAGCATTCTTTTCCACACAGGTACATATGCTGTCTCCATCACTAGAATTACTCCTATCTCTTGATACTCCTTCCTTCATCTCAGGAAGGACTGGGCAGTCCTTTGCATTTTCACAAAGCATTTCACCATCTTTTGGTTTAAAAAGATTTTTCAGGTCAGTTTCTTCACTGTTATTATTAGTTTCTAAATTTTCTTGAGAAGGCATTATTTCAATGGATTTCAGGATTCCTAGGGAACCAGAGCTCTCATCATGGCAAGACATTAACTCTTTTGAGGAAATTCCAAAGGTACTTTCTTTGCCAAACTCAGAGCTTATTTCTAGTATTGATCCTTCAGTCATTTCCTGTGTTTCTCTCAGAGATGTTTCTTTATCTTGCTGTCCATAATGGATATGATTTAAAGACACATTTACTCTGTCCAATATTCTTATATTTGGTTCATGATCTGCAACAGACTCCATCTCATGGGCACAAGAGTCTGGACACTTTTCCATTTCGCAGTCTTTTAAAGATCTGCATAGGTTTTCTTCATATGATTTTTTCAGTTCAAGAAAGCCCACTATAGAAGCAGCAGCATCTGAGAAATCGGAGTCCTTGCCAAATGTTCCTATATGGGCAGCATCCAGTTCTCTTTGATACAAGGTACTCCTTGAGTCGTCTTGGAATGCCAGTCTCTCTTGCCTTACACAATCCAGTGGATTAGATGCTTTAACGTCTAGCATACCTTCTGTAGGCTTATTACTACAGTCTGTGTAGACGATATTTATCATACCTTCTGTGGACTCATCACAACCAGAAATCTTGACAAAGTCTCCTTTCAAGTTGCCTTTTTTTGGACGACCACAAGGTAGTGAGTTATTACTGCATGAGCTGACCAGCAGATCTTTTTGGTTGTGGCTTACCTCTCCCTGAAGCTTGGTGACAGTCTCTCTCTGGTCACTACCTAGTGTCTCCTTAGCTGACTGACCTTCACTTCTGCATTCATCTGGTCTGTTTTGGTTACTCTGAGAGTCAAGGACTTCATCTGCCTTATGATCGACCTGATTGAGCGTTTCAACTGCTTTTACGTTTTTAAAACTGGAGAACATAACAGGAGGAGACTGGTCCAATATTTTTTCTGGACTTGGAATGTGTACAGTCTGGTTTAGTTCTTGTATAGCATGATCAGAGATGTTATACTTACGAAATAGAGTTTCTTTGGATATATCCTGCTCCTTTCTTTCCAGCCCTTCCTCACTAGGTTTGATATTACTCAAGGTGTGAATGGTTTTGTTTGAAATTCCACTATTTAACAAGTCTGCTGTCAGTTTGTTTCTGATCTTATCTCCTGGAAGGCTGCCACTAGTTTCTTTCCCATCAGGTTCCCTTTCCTCTGATGTATAACTCACTTTACAGCTGCTTTTTTCCACAGAGTCTCCTGCTCCTTGGCAATGGTGATGACTGTGCTGAAATGCATTTTTATATTTTGTTATCAAAGAGTTATCAACTTGCAGGTTGATTTTGCTGGACTTGAAAGCCGCACAAGCAGAACACATGTTTTCTTCAGATACATGTTTTCTTATACAATGACAGCTAGAGATATCCTGAGATTGAACACTGTGACATTCTATGACAGAGACCACTTGAGGAAAGCCAGCTATTTCTCTCTTATTTGAAAGAAGCCTGGAATGTAGAGCTTTTGTTCCTGAATCAGCCATTTCTTTTTTTCTCTCTAGGCTTACTGGTTTGATGTTTAAGGTGGGACTGTTTGAGGAGGCACCACAGGTTTTATTACCTGGTGAAGAGATGTCTTTCATTTTTGTCTGAACGGGAACGGTTTGTATATCAGCAGTGACATCTGCTCCACCCTCTAATGGAGGATGATGGCTCTGTTGGGCATCTTTGCCTGTTTTTAAAGGCATCTCTTTGTTTAAATGCATTACAGAGTCAGTTGGCAACTTTGCATGGTCTTGAGAATTAAGGGACACTTGTTGATTTAAAACACATTCACTTTCCACTTTGTTTACAACCAGTTCATTGGTACAAGAAAGTTCATTCATCTCACAGGCTATGCTCTGTTCATCTAAAAGTGGAATATCATCATGTGAAGTCTGTATAACTTTTTCTGACTCAGGTCTGTAATCAAATTCTGGGGATGGTGGTAAGAGAGCAGTACCTTTCTTGGGTTTTAATATCTCACTTACAGGACTTATCTGATCCTCTGGCATTAAACTCACAATGGATTTTCTTTCAAACAGAAAATCATTACATGATGCTTCATTTAACTGGGTGTTGCTTTCCAGATTTCTCTCGATGGTGACTAAGGAGTTACAGTTTTTAGTGTAAAAAGATTTACTTAATAAATTGAGCTCTATAGGGGTTGTCTGTTCTGGCTCTTCAATGTGCTTCAAGGAGGAAAAACTGCTTTCTTTATGGTCCTCAGGGTACGTTAAGTTACCTTGAACATGTAAAGTAATTTTCAAATCATTCTTATTTAACATTACTTCTGTGGCTTCAGTAAAAGAATTGGGCATTAAAGAACTAGAGCTCCCTGTATGGAGACTGTCTCGAATGCAACAGTTATTGTGGATATTTTCTTTTGAGGAAACAATAGGCTCTTTTTCACCAGATCGACCACTAATCTCCTTTTCTGGTTGCCTGGCATTAATAAGAAAAGGTCCATCTCTTTCACTCCTGGGAATCAAAAGCTGTTCTTTATTTTTTTCTCTAGAAGGCAAGTTCTCCCTTTGATCATCTCCCCCATAAAAATAAGAATAGTCTGTCTTTTCAGCAGATCTCTTTAGCAAACCATCACCTTCAAAACCACAGTTTTCTAAGGATACTGTTCTGGATTCTGAACCAGACAAGTCTGATGTGAAACATGAAACTTCACAGTTTTCTTTCAAGGGGCTTGTGGCTGTGGGATTATCACATGCAGAACTGGGTTGTTCATTACGGTGGCCATGAATTTGTTGGTGATTGTCATCTGCCTCACAGACAAGGTTTAGTTTACACAACTCTTCCTTCCTATTGTCCCCATCAGAAATGGCACTGTTTCCTGGTAATGACAACCAAGGACAACTTTTTAATTCTTCACATTCTTCTTCTTTAGGAGTTGCTTCTGTTAATCCAGGGTCCACAAAGGTTAAAGGTTCTAGGGTAACTAATGTCCTGGTTTCTGAAACCTCATCACTGGTCATGATTTTGTCTACCTCTGGGAATTCACTGCATCCAGCTGAGAGATCATCCAGCTGACAGATCACATTACCATTTTTGTGTCCTTCATTATTATCCATCTTAGTCCCACTTGTCTTCATACCTTGTACTTCGGTAGATTTTAGCAGAGTTTCAGTGGTAATCTGTACATTTCCTTCTGTGTAAGAGAATTAAAACCAAATCAATATGCAGTAATAAAAAATCATTTGCTCTGCCTTCATGCATTTTATTATGCTATGCTATCAAGGGCAACAAGAAGACCCGACTCAAAAAGAACTGAAAAGTTAGCATGTTATACCATTGATTTTGTTCTCTGAAAATATGACAGAGGGCCAAAAGTATATCTGGCAGAAACAGGTAATTTTCTTGCTTTGTTTTTTTTTTTTTTTTGAAACGGAGTTTCACTCTTGTTACCCAGGCTGGAGTGCAATGGCGCGATCTCGGCTCACCGCAACCTCCGCCTCCTGGGTTCAGGCAATTCTCCTGCCTCAACCTCCTGAGTAGCTGGGATTACAGGCACGCGCCACCATGCCCAGCTAATGTTTTGTATTTTTAGTAGAGACGGGGTTTCACCACGTTGACCAGGATGGTCTCGATCTCTTGACCTCATGATCCACCCGCCTCGGCCTCCCAAAGTGCCGGGATTACAGGCTTGAGCCACTGCGCCCGGCGCTTTGTTTTTTTTGAGACAGAGTGTTACTCTGTCGCCAGGCAGGAGTGCAGTGGCGTGATCTTGGCTCACTGCAACCTCCGCTTCCTGGGTTCAAGTGATTCCCCTGCCTCAGCCTCCCGAGTAGCTGAGACTATAGGTGTGCACCACCAGGCCCGGCTCAATTTTGGTATTTTAGTAGAGATGGGGTTTCACCATGTAGGCCAGAATGGTCTTGATCTCCTGACCTTGTGATCTGCCCACCTTGGCCTCCCCAAGTGCTGGGATTATAGGTGTGAGCCACTGCGCCCGGTGAAAGAGGTAATTTTCAACAAATGCCTCTTGCTGAAAGTTACACAGTGTTCACAGATCAATGCTGGACAACTGAACAAAACATAGAAACATGTCCCTATGTTGTATTCTCATTCAATCTTAAGAAGCTTTTATTTTGGGTTAGGCTAGGTGGCTCACGTCTATAATCCCAGCACTTTGGGAGGCCGAGGCAGGTGGATCACAAGCTCAGGAGTTTGAGACCAGCCTGACCAACATGGAGAAACCCCATCTCTACTAAAAACACAAAAATTAGCTGGGCGTGGTAGGCATGCACCTGTAATAAGAGTTACTCAAGAGGCTGATGCAGAAGAATCACTTGAACCTGAGAGACGGATATTGCAGTCAGCTGAGATTGTGCCACTGGGCTCCAGTTTGGTCGACAGGGTGAGACTCTGCCTCAGAGGAAAAAAAAAAAAAAAAAAAGGCTTTTATTTTAAAACATTAATAGAGCAGACTCACAATAATAGCTTACTTTACTAGATGACCATTCTCTCATCACTGAAATTAGATGTCATAGATAAACTTAGTCTTTGGAAAAACCAACTATACATAAAACATTATTTATTTTTTTCAGACAGAGTCTTGCTCTGTTGCCCATGCTGGAGTACAGTAGTGTACTCTTGGCTCACTGAAACCTGTTTCCTGGGCCCAAATGATTCTTCTGTCTCAGCCTCCGGAGTAGCTGGGATTATAGGTGCCCGCAACCACACTCAGCTAACTTTTTTTATTGATGGAGTCTCGCTCTTGCCACCTAGGCTCAAGTACAGTGGGATGATTTTGGCTCACTGCAACCTCCGCCTCCCGGGTTCACGCAATTCTTCTGCCTCAGCCTCCCGAGTAGCTGGGATTATACAGGCACCCAGCACCATGCCCGGCTAATTTTTGTATTTTTAGTAGAGATGGGGTTTTGCCACGTTGGCCAGGCTGGTCTCAAACTCCTGACCTCAGGTGATCTACCCACTTCAGCCTCCCAAAGTGCTGAGATTACAGGTGTGAGCCACTGCACCCAGCCATTTTTTTGTATTTTCACTAGAGACAGGGTTTCACCATATTAGCCAGGCTGGTCTAAAATTCCAACCTCAGATGATCTATTAGTTCTGTCCCTCTAAGAGAACCCTAACTATACACATGAACATGTGTATATGTATGGGTATATGTACCCAATACATGTATATGTGTATATATATACACACACATACACATATATAACAGAATACCTGTATTAAACAGAAAAGGCAAAATGCAAATCTATTTAAAGATCGGCCAGGCGAGGTGATTTTGCCTGTAATCCTAGTACTTTGGGAGGCCAAGGTAGGTTGCCATTTGAGGCCAGGAGTTCGAGACTAGCCTGGCCAACATGACACCCCGTCAGTACTGAAAATACAAAAATTACCTGGGCATGGTGGCACATGCCTGTAACCCCAGCTACTGGGGAAGCTGAGGCAGGAGAATCACTTGAACCCAGGGGGTGAAAGTTCCAGTGAGCCGAGATGGTGTGACTACACTCCAGCCTGGGTGACAGTGAAACTCCATCTCAAAAAACGAAACACGAAACAAAACAAAACAAAAACTAATTCTTGGCTGGGTGCAGTACCTTACAGCTGTGATACCAGCACTTTGGGAGGCTGAGGCAGGAGGAATGCTTGAGCCTAGAAGTTTGAACTAGCCTGGGCAACACATGGAGACTCTGTCTCTACAAAAAATTTTAAAGAAAAAAAAATAGCTGGGTGTGGCGGTGCATGCCTTTAGTCCCAGCTACTTGGAAAGCTGAGGCAGGGGGATTGCTTGAGCCCAGGAGGTCAAGCCTGTAATGAGCCGTGATCGCACCACTGCACTCCAGCCTGGGTGACAAGAGTAAGTGACCTTGAAACTCCGTGAGGGTACGGATCTTGTTTTGTTCTCTTCTTTATGGTTCAGCATAATCCCTGGTATATAAAAGCACAAGAGCACTTAGTAAATATTCATAAAATTAATGAATGAATACAAATAAACAAATGATATTAATACTGAGTTTCTAGGGTTTCCCTGTCCATTTCTCAATAGATCCTTAGACTAGCAATTACTGAGAGAAAGAGCCCTGACTGAAGCCAGACCAGCTAAACTTCTTTTTTGTTTTTTCAGACGGAGTTTCGCTCTTGTTACCCAGGCTGGAGTGCAATGGCGCGATCTCGGCTCACCGCAACCTCCGTCTCCTGGGTTCAGGCAATTCTCCTGCCTCAGCCTCCTGAGTAGCTGGGATTACAGGCACGCGCCACCATGCCCAGCTAATTTTTTTTGTATTTTTAGTAGAGACGGGGTTTCACCATGTTGACCAGGACGGTCTCGATCTCTTGACCTCGTGATCCACCTGCCTCGGCCTCCCAAAGTGCTGGGATTACAGGCTTGAGCCACCGTGCCCGGCCTCTAAACTTCTTTCATGGATCTGTGATACTTTTTTTTTGAGATGGGGTCTTGCTTTGTTGCCTAGGCTGGAGTGCAGTGTTGCCATCAGGACTTGCTGCAGCCTCCAACTCCTGGGCTCAGGTGATCCTCCCACTTCAGCCCCGCAAGGAGCTGGGACTACAGGCACATGGCACCACGCCTGGCTAATTTTTATATTTTTTGTAGAAACAGGGGTTAGTTATCTTGCCTAGACTGGCCTCGAACTCCTGAGCTCAAGCAATCCTCCCACCTCAGCCTCCCAAAGTGCTGGGATCACAGGTGTGAGCCACTGTGCCTGCGGATCTGTGATACTTACCTAATTCTTGGTTTCTTCCTTTGTAAAAAGTGGGGAAAGTACACTTACCTCAGTGCTACACTGAGGAGTAAATGAAATAATGCATGTAAGATGCCAGGTGGGACAGTGCCTGGCGTATAAAAGGTGCCCTTCCTTTGCTCTGGGCATTTTTTTTTTTTTTTGAGACAGCCTCGTACTGTCACCTAGACTGGAGTGCAATGGCGTGATCTCAGCTCATTTTAACCTCTGCCTCCCAGGTTCAAGTGATTCTCCTGCCTGAACCTCCCAAGTAGCCCCCGCTACCATGTCCAGCTATTTTTTTGTATTTATTAGTAGAGATGGGGTTTCACAATGTTGGCCCAGCTGATGTCAAACTCCTGATCTTGTGATCCACCCACCTCAACCTCCCAAAGTGCCAGGATTACAGGTATCAGTCACCACGCCTGGTCTGCTCTGCTTTTTTTTTTAAATTTTATTGAAACTGAGATCAGTTAAAATGGAGTAACTAGTCTAGATACAGTATTTTAAAATGTTTGGAGTCAGCAAATATTAGATTGACAAATACATACTTCAAGCCACAGGTTTTTAGATACCAATCATTTAAAAAGGCAGCCTCAAAATCCTGATTCAACACACAATATTTATCACTGTGAAACTAGCCTACTCTCCCTAACACAGCAAATGATGCTACCCTATTCAAGAATTTCTAAGTACATGGCCAGGCACGGTGGCTCACACCTGTGATCCCAGCACTTTGGGAGACAGAGGTGGACAGATCACTTGAGGTCAGGAGTTCAAGACCAGCCTGGCCAACACGGTGAAAACTTGTCTCTAGTAAAAATACAAAAAAATTAGCCATGTATGGTGGCGGGCACCTGTAATCCCAGCTACTTCAGAGGCAGAGGCAGGAGAATCTCTTGAGCCCAGGAGGCGGAGGTTGCAATGAGCCAAGATTGTGCCACTGCACTGCAGCCTGGGTGACAGAGTGAGAACTCATCTTAAAATAAAATAAAGTGAAACAGAATGAAAAGAAACATCCAGTCTCCAAATTATATAAGGTAGATTTTCTCTTCTTGACTACTTTCACCTCTTCCTCAAAATGTATTTCCTCAATGCTTTGCCAATTTCTGGTGACCCTCCTAAATAAGTCTTCACAGAAATGACTACCGTGGGAATTAAGTCTCACAGAATAATTAGTAGGAACTAATATCGCCATTGTTCCTGATACCATTTCATCTTTCTTACACATAAGCTTCCCAAACAAGCCCAGTTACAGGGAACTCTCTGAAAAACAAGATAAAACAAATAAACTTGGTAATGCCAGTTTTGTAAAATTAACTAAACAGAAAATTACAGTGAAAGAGACATATTAAAAGTCAGGATAGAAGAAAGGGTGAGGCAGCAGCTAAAGTGCCTGACTGGGGGAAGATCTCCCCTGTGAGATGGCTCATCAACTCAAATACTCCTACCACTGCTCCCCCATGCCCATTTCTCATGTGTCTGCCCCACAACTATCAAGAAATAAGGAATGATAGGCAAAAGTGCCTCCTACCAATTAAAGGCTCCTCTGGTTATTACAAAAGTCCTTTTAAAAGGTTTAATCTGGGCTGGGCATGGTGGCTCATGCCTGTAATCCCAGCATATTGGGAGGCCGAGGTGGGCAGATCACCTGAGGTCAGGAGTTTGAGACCAGTCTGACCAATACAGAGAAACCCTGCCTCTAAAAAAAAAAAATTTTTTTTTAAAAGGTTTAATCCGTTGCCATTTCATCTAATTGAGCAGCAGCTGACATATGATTGTGACTATAGCTTACAATTATCTATTATGTATTTAAAAATAGCCAGAAGAGAAGAATTCAAACGGTTCTAGTACATGGAAAAGACAAATATTTAAGGTGATGGAATCCCACGTACACAAGTTGATCTTTTCAAATTATAAGAATTTATTATCACATGTACCCCAAAACCATGCACTTTACATATCAATTAAACAAAAGAATCTCAAAATCTGGAATACTGTGGTAATCTGATAGTACAGAGAGTGGGACATTTATATAGAAAAGTAAAAATAATGCATGGAGGGGAGAGTGTAGTAGCAGAGGTTCACTTACTAAACTACTTGGTGCAGGAATGATCCCAAATCATTCCTCAGCCAGTTTATAAATTATTATACTGAAGTCCTTCCACTCGGAATAACCAAAATGTAAAAAAAAAAAAAAATGTAATAAATAAAACCAAGTAAAGCAATTTGCACAGTGCTCAACCATGCAAACACTTAATGAAACAAAGGTAGCAAGTATATATTAGATTTTCATCAAGACAACTTAAATTTGGGCTAGGTGCAGTGGCTCACACCTATAATATCAGCACTTTGGGAAGCCGAGGCAGGCGGATCACCAGAGGTCAGGAGTTTGAGACCAGCCTGGCCAACATG